CTCACTGCAGCAGGCATTGGGACCCAGCAGAGCCGGCTGCAGCAGACCCTCACTGCAGCAGTGGATCTTGCAATTGGCAATTTATCCTTGAGTCACAAAGCATTAAAATTACAAAAAAACAAAAACCACCTTGGCTAAAAGGGGTGCAATACCTTGAGGGTTCAGTGGGATTGGAAAGTTTTATGGATGTCTCCTTTTTTTCCTCATGCATGGACTTTTTTCTCCCCATATAACATTTTTATTAATTCTACGGGAGTTTCACACCACGCACTCCATCACAATCCCTTCCCAGTCCTTTCATGTTCGCCCCCTTCCCCTTTCGACCTCCCTGCAAATGAAGTAAAAGGTAAGAAAAACAAGTCCACTTTGTGTTATCTATAAACCTTCTAGAGCATGGTCAGCTTCTTGGTGGCCTGCCCCTTGAGATAGAGCTGAGTCCTCCTCCCACACCTGCATCGGAAGCCATCAGTTGTGGAGAGCATCTCTGTCACCCTTTCTAAAAGTTCTCTCTGGTGGCTTCCTGTCTAGGCTGTCACTTTACTCTTTGGAGGGGGCGGGTAGGGGTAGGAGCTGTCACAGGGCCTCCATGTCTCCTCAACGGTACTCTCGCAGTCATCCATGCCATGGCAAAAGCAGCCTTCTTGCTCTTTGCAGTCAGTGGGAGCACAGACCACAAACATGGCACCTGCTAAAGCAGGACCACAGACCCAGACAAGGCCTCAGAAGCTGCCTGGGCCCCGGTCATCAAGATGGCCTCAGGTGGCAGTACAGGCCACGCAGATCAGTATGGCTCCCAGTGGCTGCATGGCCCACAGTGGCTGCATGGCCCACAGTGGCTGCATGGCCCACAGTGGCTGCATGGCCCACAGTGGCTGCATGGCCCACAGTGGCTGCATGGCTTTGGTAGTACCACATACTGTGGACATCCCCATGGCCTTTGGTGGTCACTCGACCACGACATCAACACAGACCCTGGCTGCAGTAGGACCACAGACCCAGACATGGCCCTGAGTGGCAGCTCAGGCCTGTACATCAGCATGTATATCAGGTGGCACACAGGCCACTCAGACCAGTGTGGTCTCTGGTGGCAGCACAGACTACTGACTTCCACATGGGCCCTCGTGGCAATCCGGACCATGGGCATCAACACAGACCCGAGCTACAGCAGGGCCTTGGACCCAGATGTGGCCTTTGGTGGCAGCAAGGACCAAGACCTCATTATGTTCTCAGGTGGCAGTTCAGGCCTCACATATCAATGTGGCCCCTGGAGGCAGCCTGGCCACAGGCCTCAAAATGGCCCCAGGCTGCAGCACAGACCCCTACCATCTGCTCAGTGCTCTGTGGAAACGTGCCACAGACAGGAGACTGTACCCATGGCCTTGGCAGGTAGGCCCAAAATAACCAAGTAAGAAGCAGAGGAAGGAATTCCATGGTCTCAGCTCAAGGAAGCAGAGTTCATGTGTTGCTGTTAGCGTCTCCTGAATCACACTGAGGTCTCTCTCAGAGCTGCAGGAGGGACACGGGAAGGAGAAAGAGAGAAAAGCGCTTTGAAAAACTCTGCTTTGCTTCCAGGTGGAGAGTAACTTCCAGAATTTCTCTACGGACTGTTAGCAGCCCGGTTCCAGGATGGGAGAGGTGCCTGCAGCTCATCAGTCACTGTGCTTTCCCCGCCACAGTCGGGGGACTAGCTTCGGCTTTTTGTACCTTCTGTAGTAGTCATGTATCCTAAAGTCATCTCTGTGTTGTGAGATGAATAACAGTAACGGATGCTGAAAATAGTTCACGCTTAGCTGTCTGTAGGCCAGGACCTTTGCCATTCAGGCCGTCCTGTTCTCTTCCTTGTCACAGCATCAGGAAGCCAGCCTGACCCAAGACAGGTTTGGTGGACATTGTAAGACACATGCTTGAGTCTGAAATGGGAGGGCCAAGTGTCCACTCCTGACAGCTTAAACAGCACAGGACACTTTGTCAAAGTCACCGATACACAGGGGCTACTCTGCTCCGGCCCCCACCACTTTCATTTTAGCAGCTCCTGCTTGGTGCCATAGCAGATACAATTCTATTGTGCCACACCCAGGACAATAAAAACCATCAGCAGCCATATGGACCAGACTGTCCATTTGTTCTGGGCAGGATTTAGGGGTCCCTAAGAGGGGAGAGGTCTCAGGTCTCAACTGGACCTTTGGTGTCAGATAGAGATCTGTGGGTCAGCAGTTTGTCTGTGGGAGGCAGGTTTGATGGGCAGCAGGTTCAGCAGCGATTAACACCTGAGAGGGAGCTCAGAGATTCGGTTCAGAAGCTTGAGCTGTTGTGTGGAAATGGAGGAACAGAGGGCAGGTGGGGTGTGAAGGCAGGAACTCAGCATTTGACGTTTTGTCTGATGAACTCCTCTAAAGTCAGAGAGAATTTGGAAATCAAAAGTCCCGAATCCTGGCCAGGCATGGCTGTCATATAATTGATCTTGGGGCCACATCTGAGCCGAGAGCCATATTAGAGTGGTGGGTCTGAGGCTGGCTAGACCTGAAGTTTCAAGGTTGGATTTTAGGGGTGCCTAGGGGTGTCCTTGGGCGCAGACAATTTGGAACTCATCTCAGAAGGCAAAGGAGAAGGAAACTACAGTCATTCCCAAGGCTGTCCCCTGAGTTCAGATGGCAGCTGGAGGAACAAATGTGTTTTGCAGAAGAGGGTGTCCCCTGCCTGTGGAAATCACCAAAGCCAAGGCACTCCTGGAGTTCTGGCCAAGGCCTAGATCTGGGGTCCCTCCTGACGCTGGCAGAGACCTACCTTAGCAGTGAGTATGTAGTAGTGGGTGTGGTCTAGGGAACAGTCAAGAACCTCTGTTCTGGAGCTCAGTAGACAGTGGCGGGAGAGACAGGAAGACAGAT